AAAAATGAGGTACAGAGCTAAACAAAGAATTCTCTGTAGAGGAATATTGAATGGCAGAAAACACTTAAAGAGATGCTCAACATCCTTAGCCATCAGGGAGATGCAAATCAAACAACCCTGAGATTTCACCTTACACCCATCAGAATGGCTAAGATCACAAACTCAAGTGACAACACATGCTGGAGAGGTTGTGGAGAAAGGGGAACCCTCCTCCACTGCTGATGGGAATGTAAACTGGTACAACCACTTTGGAAATCAATCTGGTGCTTTCTCAGACAATTAGGAATAGTGCTTCCTTAAGACCCAGCTATACCACTGCTAGGTATATACCCAAAATTTGCTCAAGTACACAACAAGGACATTTGCTCAACCATGTTTGTAGCAGCTTTATTTGTAATAGCCAGAACCTGGAAACAACCCAGATGTCCCTCAGTTGAGGAATAGATACAGAAATTGTGGTATTTTTACACAATGGAATACTACTCAGCAATCAAAAAGGAGGAAATCATGAAATTTGCAGGCAAATGGTGGGATCTAGAAAAGACCATTCTGAGTGAAGTATCCCAGAAGGAGAAAAATTAAAATAAAAAACCTCAAGTGACAACACAGACTGGAGAGGTTGTGGAGAAAGGGGAACCCTCCTCCACTGCTGGTGGGAATGTAAATTTGTGCAACCACTTTGGAAATCAATCTGGTGCTTTCTCAGAAAATTAGGAATAGTGCTACCTTAAGATACAGCTATACCACTCCTAGGCATATATCCAAAAGATGCTTACGTACACAACAAGGACATTTGCTCAACCATGTTCATAGCAGCTTTATTTGTAATAGCTGGAATCCGGAAACAATCCAGATGTCCTTCAGTTGAAAAATGGATACAGAAATTGTGGTACATTTACAAAATGGAATACTACTCAGCAATTAAAAACAAGGAAATCATGAAATTTGCAGGCAAATGGTGGGAACTAGAAAAGACCATTTTGAGTGAGGTAACCCAGAAGCAGAAAGACACATACGGTATATACTCACTCATAAGTGGATATTAACCATATAAGATCAACATACTAAAATATGTACTCCTAAAGAAGCTAAACAACAAGGAAGGCCCTAGGGAAGATGCTCAAGCCTCATTCAGAAGGACAAATGGGATAGACATTGGAAGCAAGAGAAGACAGTGAACAGGACAGGAGCCTACCACAGACAGCCTCTGAAAAACTCTACTGATTGAGGTATCAAAGCACAGACTAAGACTCATAGCTAAACTTTGGGAAGAGTGCAGGGAATCTTAGGAAAGAAGGGGCAGATATAAAGACGTGGAGGGGACAGGAGCTCCAAAAGGAAACCAACAGAGCCAAAAATACTGAGCCCTGCAGAGACTGATACCCCAACCAAGGACAATGCATGGAAAGGACCTAAAACCCAGGCTCAGACGTAGCTCATGGCAGCTCAGTCTCCAAGTGGGTTCCCTAGCAAATGGATCAGGGACTTTCTCTGGCAGGAACTCAGTGGCTGGCTCTCTGCTCACCACCTCCTGGGTGGTGCAGCCTTGCCAGGCCACAGAAGACAATGCAACCAGTCCTGATGAGACCTGATAGGCTAAGGTCAGAGGGCACTATCTGACCCTACCGGTGGACTAGGGGAGGTGCAAAGGGTGAGAAGAGGGAGGGAGGGTGGGTTTGGGAAGAGATGAGGGAGGGAGCCACAGCCAGGGTACAAACCGAATATATTGTAATAAACGATAATAATAAATTTTAATTAGATTATCTTAAATAAATGTTTAAAATGAACTGTGTTACTAGAAAGGGGAAATATAAAATATATTCTAATCTCTTGATTGTATTTGAATAAGGAAACACTACAATGATACAAAAGAAACTGAAAAAAGTTAAAAAAAACAGCACAAGAAGAAATAAGGTACAAGAAGATGGGATGGAAGTGAGAATTATTTCTAAATTACCTCACACTCACCCTTCTGAACAGCTGAATTCTATCTGTGATCCAAAAGAAAAGTCTGTTTTAACTTCCACATGTCCGTTGTGTAAGTCTCCTGGATTCCTGCATGATTTTTCTAGGAAAAATAAAATTATGATAAGTGATCCCCACATTCACAGATACTGCAATTATAAACTGACAGATCTGTTTCTACTTCCACGTCCAGAGAGACCTACATGGTTAGAGTCATGTTTATATCTGAAAATGACTTGGTGAATTTTTCGTTCTGGAGGAAAAATGCAAACAAATTTTGATCACTTCTTTTTTCACCCTGGTGTATTTTAACAAGAACCATTTCCTTGACTATAAAAAGAAATAAAACAGAGAATGCAAAGATTATATGCCGTTACTGTTGGGAGACGGTACCAAATGTGTCCCCTGCTCACAGTGAATTAGCTGTTCTTCCATATCATGAAATATGTTGTTTTGAGCCTTGTTTTACTTAACTTTTAAAATTAGTATACAGAATAGTGGGTTTCATTTTGACATTTTCGTATGTGTATAGCATCATACTTTCATCATATCCACCAGCCATTGTGGCCACTGTCCTTCAGCCAATATATGTACATACGTATGCATATGCATTTTTTAAAAATCTGGCTCTGCATATAAAAACACTCACCATGTGTTTGAGGTAAGATTGCTACTTTCTGTCCATTTAACCCTAAGGTATTTCTATCATCATTGTTATCATTACTACTTTTATTACTGTTATTATTGTTTTTTTTTTTTTTTGAGGACTGAAGTGCAGGCATGCACATGCTACAACATGTATGTGGAGGTCACAGAACAACTCTGGGAGTCAGTTCTCTCCTTCCACCTTTCCAGGAATCACCCTCGGGTCACCTTCACCTGCTAAACCATCCTCCTCGCCCCAATTTTTCTTTCTTTTTTTTGAGGCAGGGCCTGTCCCTGTGCAGCCCTGGCTGGCCTGGAAATTACTGTGTAGACCAGGCTGGTCTCCAACTCACAGAGGTCTGTTCCTGCCTCTGCAGGTATTAAAGGTGTCCACTATCACACCAAGTCCTAGTCCCAATATTTAAATAAGTACCTGGTGACTTACCAATGAAATGTTTGTCTTAGAGTTACTATTGCTGTGATAAAATGCCATGACCAAAGCAACTTAAGGAGAAAAGGGTTTATTCATCTTATGTTTACATATCACAGTTCATCATCAAAGGAAGTCAGGACAGGAACTCAAGCAGGGCAGGCCTGGCAGAGGCCATGGAGAAGTGCTGCTAATTGGCTTGCTCATCATGGCTTGCTCAGCCTGCTTCCTTAGGGAATTCAGTACCACCAGCCCAGGGATGGCACCGCCCACAATGGGCTGGGCCCTTCCCCAAAGACACTAATTAAGAAAATACCCTACAGGTTTGCCTACAGCCAGATCTATGGAGGCGTCTTCTCAATTGAGGCTCCCTCCTCTCTGATGACTCTACTTTGTGTCAAGTTGAAATAAAACTAGCCAGTACAGGCTAGAGAGATGGCTTAGTGGTTAAAAGCATTGGTTGTTCTTCCAGAGATCCTGAGTTCAATTTCCAGCAACCACATGGTGGCTCACAACCATCTATAATGGGATCTGATGCCCTCTTTTGTCATATAGATAGACCACTCATATATATAAATAAATAAATCTTTAAAAACAAACTAGCCAGTACAGCATATCTTTTCTTCATTGCAATCAAGTCATTTCTTATTTTCTGTTTTGTTTTATTTTGCTTTCCAGAAGAGTCATGCATATGTACTTAAAATTCCTAGTTGCCAAGTGGTGGTGGCACATCCCTTTAATCCCAGCCATTGGGAGGCAGAAGCAGGTGGATCTCTGTGAGTTTGAGGCCATCCTGGTCTTCAAAGTGAGTTCAGGATAGCCAAGGCTACATAGAGAGAGCCTGCCTTGAAAAACAAAACAAAAAACCAAATCAAACAACAAAATTTCTAGTAGATGAATTCACTAATTCCTTCGTGACCTAAAATTCAATAATTATAGAACCTGAGAGAACTTTCTAACACTGATGTTTGCACACTTGAGAATAATAAATGTTGGTACTTACTGACACAGATGATAGTAATGTACCATTTCCCTTCAGGTGTGCAGTAAACAGTCTGGCTTGAAGTTGCTCTACTGTAGCCAGGGCGGCAATTGTATCTCAGGACAGTTTGGCTCTCAAAGTCTGTCTGATTCATCTCAGTTGCTGGCAAGGCGTAGGGTAAATCAGGTGGTGGACCACATTTGCCTAGATACCAAAGGACAGTGACATCAAATGTTAGTCCCTGAGACACAGCAGCTTATTGTTTCAGTAGTATACTTTTAGAGGGAAAACAATTCTTTTCTGCTCTAGTCAAGAAAAATTGTAAATGTACTATTCCTCTGTGTTAGGAGTCCATGAGAAGCATGCAAATTTTCTGTTGGTAAATGATAATGATGATGATGATTAAAGGCACACGTGTTTATTCCTTCTCTACTGTGTAAAACATCTTTCTATAAAGGAGACAGATGTAAATGTCATCAGCCTGCATTATCCATCTCTGCTCAGAGTGCATATATGCAAAGCCAAAAATTCTTATACATTTGCTTTAGTAGATACACGTTGTTTGATTTGAGCTGACATGATAAGCCAGATGTGGTAGCATATAAGAAAGATTGTGAATTCAAGTCCAGCCTGAGCTACATAACACAGAAAACAGAATTCTTAAGACATAAAAATCTTAACCCTACTTTCCCTATTGAAAATGAATGGTGATACACAGCTAAGTTACCATTTGAGAGCCCCAGAGCCATGTGCTCCTCATCTCTCCATTCCAGATCAACCCCCAGGCCATGAAATATGCTTCATTGCTGTTAGAAAATATAGCTTTATTTCAAATGCAGGTTGGGAAACAGGTTGCTTTGGAGACTTAGATGAGAAGTTCTAGGTGAAACACCTAGAAACTTAGCCTTTTGTGTGTGATGATAACTCCAGCTGGCAAAATAAATCCTTTGTGGTTGAAACTGGATCTCCGCTAACTTAGCTATCCAGTTTAAGTCTTATAAATAACTGTTGGTTGTCCATCTGGACTTGTTGCCCACTACTCACCGAAAACAGCAACCCAAAGAGCAGCCGTCAAGGCCATTTGGAACAAAGTTGGGCCACAGACTCTGCAGAGCCTAGAGAAGGGCCAGGCCACTGCACCTCTGGTTTTTTGAAGTGTCCCACGTGGTGCTCTTGTGCGGTGCATGGCTTGCTGCTGCTTTGCCCACAGTTGTTCTGCCAGAAAACCTGAATTTAACAAGTGCCATTTAACCAACTTGACATAAAGCATTAGGATAAATACTGTGCTATCCACCTCTTCAAGGAAATTACAACCTAGGTGTGAAGAAGAGACATGAGCACAGATGTTACAACATTAACGATGAGGACATTCATCTGCAAAAGGCACTTCTGGGAAGAGAAATTCTTTTCAAATGGAAAAAGGAAGTGAATTTTCAGAGAAGAATACATGTGAGCCTGGAGTTCTGTGAAGCCAGAGACTAAATTCAAGTCAACTTGGAAAAGAACAGTGTTTCAATTTCGCAAATTAGGTGACCTTCTCTTCTCTTCTGGTCTTTTAGATACCTAAGCCATGTGGCTATTCAGATTGTAGACACATATTGAAGACTTAAAAGCTTACATCCATATATAAGAGAAAATATACAATATTTATCTTTTGGGGTCTGGGTTATCTCACTCTGTAAGATTTTTTTTCTAGCTTCATCTATTTACCTGTACATGTCATCTTTCTTAACAGCTGACTAATATTCCATTGTGTAAATGTATCACAGTTTTATTATCCATTCATCAGTTGATAGACATCTAGGCTATTTCCAATTTCTGGCAATAATGAATAGAACAGCAATGAACATGGATGAATCAGTATCTCTGAAGTAGGATGCAGAATCCGTTGGGTATATGTCCAAAAGTGGTTTAGCTGAATCTTGAGTTAGAGTGAATTTCAGGTTTTTGAGGACCCTCCACACTGATTTCCATAGTGGCTGTATCATTTTGTACTCCTACCATCAATGAATAAGATTTTCCCTTTTTCTGTCATCCTCACTAGTATGTGTTGTCATTTGTTTTATTGATTTTGGTCATTTTGACTGGAGCAAGATGAGATTTCAAAGTTGGTTTAATTTCCATCTCACTGATGGTAAAGATGTTGAACTTTAAGTGTTTCTCAACTATTTGTGCTTGCTCTTTTGAGAACTTCCTGTTTATTCTGTGTCCCATTTTTTAATTGGGTTACTTATTTTTGTGATGTTCAGGGCTTTAAAAAATTCTTTATATAGTCTAGATACTAGTTCTCCACCAGATATGTAACTGATAAAGATTCCTGAAAGAGGATGTTTTCTTCTTCATTGTGTAGACACTATTTTACCCAGATAATGGTGTCCTTTGCTGTACAGAAGCATTCTAGCTCCATGAAGTCATATTTGTTAATTGTTGGTCTTAGTGCCTGTACTACCAGTGTCCTGTTCCTTTCCTGTGCAATGAGTTCAAGCCTATACACCATGGTCTTATGGATAGACAAAGAGAAAAGTAGAATAGGAGGATTAAATGGTGAGGGGAATGGAAGAGCAAGATAAAGGGAGGGAAAATGGGGAGTGTCAGCCATATTAAAGGCCATTTGAAAAATTATATGGAAATCTGCTACTGTAGACATTCTCTAAAAATAAACATTTATGAAATTAATTTAAACGGAGTCACCATGTAATGGGGGGACAATGCCCCAACTAGAAATCTTATGCCACCAAATGTCACAGGCTATTTCTAAGGTTATTGCTTACTTTTCCCCTGATGGTAAGGCCCCATTGCTAAAGACATTTCTCATGTCATCAAACATAAAGAAACTGAGCTAGTCCCTAACTAGAAACTTCACCCCTCCTAATATCTAGCAATAAAATGAATCCTAATGATATAATGCTATACCCATGGATTAGTACCTCACTCAACCCTCATTAGAGAAGCTTCTTCTTGCAGTATATTGGAATAGACACAGATGCTCAAAACTGGACAATGTGCAGAAAGTGAGAGACTTCAGAGCACTCAGTCCTAAATGGGATGTCTTCATAAAAACCCTCCCCTCTAGGCTCAAGGATCTTTGAGGTGAGGAGGTAGAAAGACTATAAAAGCCAAATGTGATAAATAACTCTAAGGAAATTGTGTTTTCCATATACAAATCTTAACTTTTTACCTTAAAAACTCTGTAATACGTGTAATTTCATGTAAAAATCTACAAATATAGTTTTAATGAACTTTTCTCATCTGGGGTGATGTTACTTCCCAAAGACCACCTAACAAAAAATCACAATACCAGACATGAGAGGCCTTCTTTTGAGATTTTATCCAGGCCAGCTCAAGAAACTCCCAAACCACAAATCCTATTGTTGTCCTTAGCAATCGCCCACCCACAGAAGGGAAGGTAAGTTCCTATCGCTGAAACATCATGAACTTCGAAAACGGGGCTCAAAACCTCCTGAACTAGAACTGATCTGAATGCCTCCTCCCTGAGGAGGCATCATTCATGCTTCTGAAAAGTGGTGGGGAGAGGCAACCAACAGTCCTACCCAGTTGTGATACCTATGAATACATCAATGACCAACATGATCCAGTAACCCTAAGGATGTTGTAGTGGCATACCTTGGAAGTAACCAAAAACTCCCTTAATTTGACTTAAGACCCATTCAACAAGAGGGAAATCATTTCTTGTACCGTAAATCTACCTAACTACTCAGTGCTAGTGAAGTCATATTTATTAGCAGAGAATCCACAACCACTAATTTATTAAACCAGCACAGTCCAATAACAATCTATAAACATTTATCTTTATATCCACAGATAAGTATGGTCTTCACCACCTCAACAACAACAACAACAAAATTCTCTTTGCAACATACTACTAAAGAAAAAAAACAACTCAAATGAAGAGTTGTGGGCCCAGTTCTAATGGATACGTCTAAAAAACACACCTGTACCTAAGAGGAACATTGCAGAAGGGGAAGCAGAAAAATTGCTTAGAGCCAGGGGATCAAGGAGTTTACTGTGAGATCATGTCTCCTAATAACATCAGAAACTATGCCAGTAAAGTCTGAACAACGTGAATTCCGAACACAACCTGAACAAGAGGACACCAGTGAACACATAAAACTAGATGGGGGAAATCCCAGGAGGCCTTAATTCTACACAAAGAACTATAGACAGCTGAGGAAAGCTTGGAGTGAAGAGATGTGGTCTTCCCCAGGGAAGAGCTACAACAATTCGTTTTCCAGTGCCAAATGATCAGCCCTGAACACATACATACAAGTAACATTATATGGACTGAATAGGGTACATGTAGGAATATATATACATACAACAACAACTAATGAAAAAGGAGGTCATACACTTGAAAGAGAGCAATAAGGAGTATGTGGGAGCATTTGAAGGGAAGAAAGAGAATTGAAAATATAATTAAATTATAACCACAAAAATAAAAAATATAAGAGAGGTACACAGCTGACAGAGCCTGGTGACCAGCTTTACCCATAACCCCCCACCCAAGTGCTCAGCAGCCCACTGACCTGCAGTAGCAGAGGAAAAGACTATGTGATGGTGCCTTGATCTCTCTTCTACTAGTTTCTCCCAAGATGACATCTGATCATAATATCCTAAAGCTGGCCAGTAATTGCTCCATCAAAAAGTCCTTGGAGTCTACCCACGCATATGGTCCTTGCATTCTACCCACACATGTATCTCGTCAGGGAGCTGAATAAAGATGGACAGAGAGAACCTCTCCTCCGCCCCAGTGAATGATTAACAAACTGGAGCAGCAGTATTTACATAATCTTCTTTACCAGCCCTCATTCTTGATCATGTGTTGCAATTGTTTATTTTCTTCTCTGCCAACCATTTCCCCTAAGTTAGAATGGTGATGAGAAAGTTTGATGCCAGAATTTTCCTTTTCTTTTCATAATCATAAGTTATACAACACAAAACTCAACCAGCCTAGACACATTGAGTTGGAGTTCAGAACCACTCCAACCAAAATGAGTCTCTGCGCAGGACACTAGTCCCAGAGGCTTTCAGAGGTCCTAGCTTTACTTGTCTCCATCCAGGCATCACAAAAAGGTACAACAAATACAGAATGTATTTTATTGGTTGAGTTTTCTCTCCAAGAGGACTAACTTACCTTACTTTCAACAGATCATTTTGCCTTCTATTTTATTCTATATTAGTTTCATCAATGTCTTTTTTTTTCCTGTTTAACCCTGACTTAGAGTTGATTCTTTTCTACACTTCACTTTCTCTCTTACCCTGAAGTGTCCCTGCAACCTTGCCAAAACTTTAAATCCCTTTTCATTCTTTAGTATGATACTGAACTCAAGAATGCAGTCTTATCCACGTTCAAATGTCTTCCATTTATTTATTGTAATTTCTCTGAAGGTTTTAACACTGCTGAACATTTCCATTCTAAACCACTCTTCCCCTTTGACTCCAGTGACAGTTAGTGCTGTCAACTTGAACTTGGAAAACTCTAGAACCACCTGGGAGATGGACCTTTGGGCATGTCTGTGGGAGGTTGTCCTGAATATGTTAGCTGAGGTGGGAAGACCTGGGAACTACAGGTGACACCATTCCCTAGGCAGGGGATCTTTGACAGTGTAAGATAGTGAGCAGAGCATGCTAGCACACACATGTATTCATTGTCCTCATCTGAGAACATACTATGATCAGCTACTTTAAGCTCATGATGCCTTTAATTCCCTGCCGTGATGGACTGTTACATGGACCTGTGAGCTAAAAACAAACAAATAAAAGTTGTCTCCCTTAAGTTGTTTCTGTGAGGGTATTTTAATCACCGCAACAGAGACACTAAGACAGCTCCGATAACTAACTTTAAACTCCCTTGATTCTTCTAATTTTTCTTCAATTTTGATACCTCCTTTCCCTTCCTCTTATCCATAAACATAAATACTTTTCATTCCCTTCTAATTTTTATTTTATTGTTCAGAAAGAGTCTCACTATGTAACTCTGGCTGACCTGGCACTCACTGCATAGACCAGGCTGGTCTCTGCCATGCCTAGCTTTTTTTTATTAAAAACAAACAAACAAAAACAAACCACACTCTTCACTTTAACGAATTTATTTATTTATTCTCATACTTTAAGTGTCCCCAGTAGGAGGCCCATTCTGTAGTATCTCATTTTTTTTTACTGTCCTAAGTTCTGTTCACATTATTGTTGTTGTCTGCGTGATATATTCAAATACCAAATATGTCACACAGCTCATCTAACAAGAATTCTAAGTTCTCAAGGATGGAATTTCAGGGCTGCATTTGAGTACTTCTTCCCTATTACAGTAAGTGCACAAGCTATTTTGATATAAGTATCACAACACCTCTCATTTCTACTGTTCTGTTTTAATTTATGCTCCTCTGAAAATATTCTAGATCATCAGTATATTTTCTATTAAGAACCTGCTTCTGGCAAGGGCTTTGCTGCTGCATTATACCATCGTTTGAAGCCAAGGGCAAGAGGACAGGCATGAGACAAGGAAGGAAGGGGATTGAACTTAATTTTTTTTTCTTTTTCTTTGTCCCAGAAATGGCTATTACTTTTTATTCGAGTAACTGCAAATACGAAACCAGAGGGGACCTCCAGCTGGGACAAACTTCCCCCACAGAACAAGGGGAGTTGGCGGCCCTACACCCTTTCCCATCAAAGTGGACCCCTCCTCACTCTGCTGCAGCATCTGCTGGGCAAGACCCCATCTTCCCTGTTGAGGGGTAGTCCGTAACCAGCCTGCTGCACCCCTAGAGTGGTTCTGTAGTGTGCAACGGGTGAGGGGAGGGACTGTAGTGTCCAATGGGGCAGGGAGGGACCTGGGAGCATGGCTTCCAATCCCAGGGGAAAGCTCTCCTTGGTGGCTAAGGAGCAGGTGATGCACACGGTTACTGTTCCTCCTCCGAGGAAATACCCTCTTCCTGGCAAATACCCTCTTCCTCCTTCTCCAGCTTCTTAGGTCTGCCCCTTGGTTTCCTCCCTGGAGTTGTGGTAGCTTTTCATATCTTGGTGGCTCCCTTATTTTTGCTTCTCTTTGGTCAGCCGAGAGGTCTCTTTGGCTTTGGCATTTCACTGGGCTCCTTCGGAGGTTGCTTGCATGGCCTGATCTGCTGGCTTCTCAGTCCGGTCCTTTTCCTACTTGGAGGCCAGGGGCTGGCTGGACTTTGAGCCAGACTCATTCATCTTCTTTCTCTATGGGGAAGTTAAGAGTGACTGGGCCTTCTTGAGCTTGTGCAGGTCTTGGCATTCTGTCACAGTCTCTGTGAGCTCAAATGTGCATCTTTCCTGTTGTGTCTGGAAAATGCACCATCCTTAAAGTTACCTACCACCTCTGGCTTTTACAAACTTTCTACTGTCTTTTCTCTAAGACTACCCAGAGTCTTAAGGGTAGGAGTGTGATAAAGATATTCCATTCTGGGCTGAGCAGCCCAAAGTCTTTGTCTCTCTGCATATTGTACAGTTGCAGGTCTCTGTGTTAACTGTCATCTACTGCAAGAAGACAGTTTTGTGATGAGGACTGAATGATGCACTCATGTATGGGTATAGCAATATATCACTGGGAGTTATTTTATCGCTACATTCCTTTGGCAGAATAACAGTAGTGCATTTCCCCCAGGACCAATGGACTACCAAGTCTCATATTGTTGGTCAGTGTCAGTGATGGGTTCCATTTCATGAAGCAGACCTTGAATCTAATAAAAATGTGGTTGGTTATTCCTCTAACATTTATGTCACTATTGTGCCAATGAGCACATCTTGTATGTAGATCATTATTATAGTTTGCAGGTTCATAGATAGCTGAGGGAGATTTATGATTACTTTTCTCTTCTGGTGGCATGTATAGCATCTTCTAGCACTTTGAATACTATCCAGAAGAGATGAAGCTTCCAGTTGAGTACCAGATAGATTTTTTCCATGTTGTATGCCACAATTAGGTGGTATCTTCAGAAATAAAGACTTACTATCAAGTTGTCAGAATAACCAATAGCACTGGCAATAACCTTTAGTGTTTAGGGTATAAATGGGCTTCAATAGCTAATTTTAAAGGTGTAATTATTGTGGGTATGTTTTTTCCAGAATGAAAGATCAGTTTCTATCTCATGATAAGTTTGACTTATTATTCATGTTTCATAAGAAGCACACTCAGATTAAATGCATGCTATCTTATTCTGCATACAGCTGGAGAATTAAGTTCTGCATTCACCATTAGTATGTTGCTAACCCTGGTCTGAAGCAGGTGACCACCATACCTGGCCCTTCTACATTCCAAGTAAAATTCCCAAAGATGGTCCCACACACTTACACACAGTGTGTCAATTGTATGGCCATGTGACTTGCATTTCAGCCGAATAAGGAACAACATGAAAACACCTTCAGAAGCAGTTTATTCATGGGGGCATTTCTGTGACCATTCTGTTACTTATATTTCGATAAAATGTATTCCTTCAGCTTAGTTTTCTTTATCTCCAGGGAATATTTCAGTTCTTCCATTGTTTGTCCACTTTCCTTTAGGCTTCTCACAAAGTTCTCTGTGGCACTGCAAAGGTCCTTTCCCTCCTGGAAGGCATGCTAAAAAAAGAAAAACTTTTAAAGTTATACCTGGAAAGCTGAGATGCAGCTCCCTACTCTGAAACTAATGAGGTACAAACCCAAAAAATTTCCAGATGGATCTGACTCCTCAACATTTTCTGGTTTAAATATAGTTGTTACTATTTCTCCAGGGATAATAAATACATACTAAACTGGTCTGAAGGAAAATGTGTTCAGAATGTATTGGAATCTAGATTTGGAGTAGCTTCTCACAGCAGTCAGAGCTTATAGATGCAGGGCACTAAGTATACCTTGTTCTATTTGCCAAATGAGGCAATAAATCCCACAAAAAGGTTTGTGAGGTATTTGTGATGATGGTGATGAATAGGAATGTTCTTATCTGGAAATGTTGGGGTCTTATGAGGCACCTTCTGCGATGAGATCAAGGTTAACCCATGCAAAAACATTACCCAGAATTGAGCAGATATCCACTAAGCATATGCAAGAGTAATGTCAGAACTGAGACTGCAGCTAAGAAAAAAACGGATAACAACTCCTACTTACAATTGCTTTCTCAAGTGCAATCTGTTCAGCTGGTTTGGAGGCTTCTTGAATGGGCTCACAGGTAGGATAAGAACTGTTCCAATTCCCATCAATGCATTGCAGCTTCTGTATGCCCACTAGGTGGTACCTAGGATGTTAGAACAACATTCAGCCTTTACATCTTCTTTTCTTTTAATTTTAATTTTTATATTAAATACAGTTTATTCACTTTGTATCCCAGCTGCAGTCCCTTCCCTCATTCCCTCCCAATCCCATCCTCCCTCCCTCATCTCCTCCCATGCCCCTCCCCAAGTCCACTTATATAGGGGAGGTCCTTCTCCCCTTCTTTCTGACCCTAGCCTATCAGGCCTCATCAGGACTGGCTGCATTGTCTTCCTCTGTGGTCTGGCAAGGCTGCTTCCTCATCCTTCGGGGGGGGGAGGGGAGGGGATCAAAGAGGCAGCCACTGAGTTTATGTCAGAGACGTCCCTGTTCCCCTTACTAGGGCCCCCACTTGGTGTCCTAGGACATGGGCTACATCTGAGCAGGGGTTCTAGCTTATCTCCATGCATGGTCCTTGGTTGGAGTATCAGTCTCAGAAAAGACTCCTGTGGCCACATATGTTGGTTCTGTTGCTTTCCTTGTAGAGCTCCAGTCCCCTCCAGGTCTTTCTATCTCCCCCTTCTTTCATAAGATTCCCTGTACTCTGCCCAAAGTTTAGCTATGAATCTCAGCATCTGCTTTGATACACTGCTAGGTAGAGTCTTTCAGAGGCCCTCTGTGGTAGGCTCCTGTCCTGTTGCCTGTTTTCTCCCTCTTCCAACGTCCATCCATTTACCTTTCTGAATGAGGACTGAACATCTTACCCAGGGTCCTCCTTCTTCTTTAACTTCTTTAGGAGTACATATTTTAGTATGTTCATCTTATATTATATGGTTAATATCCACTTATGAGTGAGGATATATCGTGTGTGTCTTTCTGCTTCTGGGTTACCTCACTCAAAATGGTCTTTTCTAGTTCCTACCATTTGCCTGCAAATTTCATGATTTCCTCCTTTTTGATTGCTGTGTAGTATTCCATTGTATAAATGTCCCACAATTTCTGAATCCATTCCTCAACTGAAGAATACCTAGATTGTTTCCAGGTTCTGGCTATTACAAATAAAGCTGCTATGAACATGGTTGAGCAAATGTCCTTGTTGTGTACTTGAGCATCTTTTGGATATATGCCTAGGAGTGGCATAACTGGATCTTGAGAAAGCACTATTCCTAATTTTCTGAGAAAGCACCAGATTGATTTCCAAAGTGGTTGTACCAGTTTACATTCCCACAAACAATGGATGAGGGTTCCCCTTTCTCCACAACCTCTCCAGCCTGTGTTGTCACTTGAGTTTTTGATCTTAGCCATTCTGATGGGTATAATGTAAAATCTCAGGGTCCTTTTGATTTGCATTTCCCTGATGACTAAGGATGATATTTCTTTAAGTGTTTCTCTGCCATTTGATATTCCTCTACAGAGAATTCTTTGTTTAGCTCTGTACCTCATTTTT